AAATAAATAAAAGGTCATAATTGATAGGTATATACTTATTGCCATTTTATTTGTTTTCTGGCTATTTTTACAGTTCCTCTCTGTCCCCCCCCCCTTTTTTTCTCTTACTCTATTACCTTGTGGTTTAATGGCTTTCATTAGTGTTATGCTTAGATTCCTTTGGCTTTATTTTTTTGTGAACCTACTCTAGGTTCTGACTAGGTTCATAGGTAACTTCTTCTGTGTATGGCAGGCTATATTAAGTTGATGGTCTCTTATATTTGAACACATTCTAAAAACACTAAGGTTTTACTCCCCCTCCACATTTTATGAATATGTCTTATTTTCCATCTTTTTTATTTTGTGTATCCCTTGACTGATTTTTGTAGGTACAATTAATTTCATTAATTAATTAAAAAGAGAAAGTATTGTTTTAACCTCCTTACTGGCTTTGTAAGTGAATAACCTACTTTCATTTGGGATATACTCCTCTGTTTCCTCATTTTGTTTAACTCTCCACATTTGTTTGTATATATGTATCAGGTAGGTCAGTGATGGCTCCTGGTCTTGAAAGTAGTGACCTAGTATAGAAGATTCCTGTAGTGCCCAGAGCGCCATGCCCCCTGGTCACTTGAACCAGATGCTTCAGGGGTGGTGCCTGTGTGGGCTGTGTGTGCTCTACTGTTGTGGCTGAGCTGCATCTGCCTTAACTCCAGTCATCTGCAATGGCCTACTTTGTCCTCTGTGGGTGCCCTGGGCAAGGTCTTGTCCCTGTGCTGTTGAGGGGGCCTGTCTGTGTTTGCCACAGGCTTGTAGGTTGGCAGAGTCAGTAGTCAGGGGAGCTGTCCAGACTTACTCTTTCTTTCTGCCACAGCTGTGGGTGCACCAAAGGGCAGGCCTTTTTCCCTGTGCTGGCAGCTGAAAGGCCTGACTATGGGAAATGTGGTGTGCTGGGGTGTATGGTTATCCTCCCTTCTCCCCAGAGCAGGAGTTACTTTGGAGGGCTGGCTGCTAAGCAGGTTGAATGAGATGGGTCTTGAGGGGAATGTGGGAGTGGGGCTTACAGTACCAGCCAGGTAAGTGGAGAGGGTTAACGTGGGCTCCCAAAGTATCTGGCTCACTAGGCTGGTGCCTGCCAGCACTTTTTCCCTGGAGAAGTCTCCCGAAGATCCCTGCCACTCCAGTGCACACTCGGTAAATAAATGTCCTTCACGCGTATTCCAGGCACTTTTCAAATTGCTGTTTCTGTGCTGTCTTGGCAGTTTATTTATTATGCTGAGTCTTTAAAGGTGGAGACTTACTTTTCTGTTGCCCTCAGGCTCTTTGGAGGTAAGCCCACTGATGTCTAAAGTACCTGGACTTAAGCCCAGCTGATTTTAAACACTTGCCAAGTTAAGCGTCACTGGTTTTCAAAGCCAAATAGCATGGGTACTAATTTTCCTAGCGTGGGTCTCCAGTGCCAGGGGTGCCTAACTCAGGGTCTGATCCTCCTGCTTCTCTGTGCATGCGGTCTCCCTCCCAACTGTGATTAATTGCACAGGAGACTTGGTTCCCAACTGTGTCTCCACACCTCCTACCCTTTTCAATGTGGAATCTTCTCTATGATTAACTGTGGAAGGTTTGTCCTGACAGTCTTCAGAGTATTTTGAGAGTTAGTTATACAAATATAGATGTTATCTTGGTGTATCTTTGGGATTGAATGAGTTCAGGATCTTCTGATTCTCCTATCCTCCTGGCCCCTTGAAATACTTTTGATCTACACCATCCATTTTGTCCTCTCAGATGGAATTTAAATAATTACCCTCCAAAATATAGTTAGAATCGAAGGGAATGGAGATTTAAGTTACTTGCTGGTTATAAAACATATCCAGGAAGACACATGACTAGAAATGGAATATGCATAATTTGAAAATTATGGTATCTAAAATAACTAAGATATTCATTAGGAAAATTTAAGTAAATTTCATTAGATTACTATATATTAAATACCAATATTAATACATAATATGTAAATGCTGATATGTGTAAACTATTATAAGCATATATATTATGTAGTTATCATATTAACCACTTACATTGTTTAAAAAGTTGTAGGGATTACCAATTCTTTAAGTGTTATGGAGGAAAGGTGAATAAAATATAACGTGTACCTATCTACCCCAAATAATGGAACAGAATTGGTGGAAAACAAAGAGTCACAAGCTAGGAGACAAAACACGATAGCTAATAAAGAATAAATAAGGGAAACAAGTGCAACAATTAACATTTCAGGGGTGTTGTATCTCAAAGATAAATATTTAATAGTCCTCCAATTCTGTTTTATATAGATGGTATCATTTTAATTTTTTTTAGGATTTTAATTCTTACTTTTTGACAACAGCAGGAAAACTGCTCTGCATTCCTTTTCTGTGCCAATGAGAAAAAAGACAGAGGCAGGAGATGGTCATCTCACTTACTAGGTGAGGGAGGAGATCTGTTGCTATCAGAGACTTCCTATACTAAATCCCTAAGGCTTAGATGTATTACCGTGTCAGTAAAGAATAGTCACACAAGCCCTTCTTAAAATCAACCCAGATACATTTCCTTTATCCTTTCAGAATAGCTTCCCTACTGCTGCTTTCCTGGGATGCAAAAAGAAAACTGAATGAGTTGAATATGATTTGTTTTAACTACGGATATTTTCAACTACACTGTGACAAATAGCATCATTATTTTCCTTTTTCTTCTTGGCATTTTTTTGTTGTCGTTTCTATAAATTAACCTTTGGGACTTTCAGCCTCAAACAAATAGTTAGAAAGCTGGTCAGGGGCAATATTCATTGGAGCCTAGATTTCCAAAACTGTGTCCCCCATCTGAGCAATTTTTTGAAGAAGGGGAAAGAAAAGAGTAAAAGAAATAAAGTGCTACATGCATATATAATAGTTTTATTGCTTTTAATTTTGAGGCCTCATCCCTCCTCAACCTCTGGGAAGGAACAAGCAGCTATCTTACCTCCAGCTTTTCTCATAGTAGCAAGCTCATTGCAGGGACTCACCAATTGTGTATCCCAAACCCAAGAATGATAAAAGGGAAGGAAATTGAACCAATCAAAAAGCATCCTGGTGCATGTAGAGAAAGGACCACCCACTGATATTTTGCCTCCATCTACTCCTCCAGAGTAAACCACTTTTTTAATAGCAAATTTAGCTGCCTTGCCAGATCAAAATACATCTCACTCGGAAGGCTTGGCTGGCACTTATGAGCCAAGAAAATGCAAACCAAGTTAGGTAGGGAGAAATATGAAATAATATTTTCTTTCAAAACCTAAATTGACATTTGATGCCTCATATGTGAACTTCAGATTGACTTGTGTTGCTGCCTGATTCACAGAAGCTCAAAATAGTTCCTCTCCCTATGTGGTTTATTATGCTTTCATGCTTACTTCCACCTGTAAATCTTCTAATTAGAACAAATCAGGGAAGATATTTCAAGTAAATTAGTGGATTGAAAGGTCCATTTTTTATTGAAAAAATAATATAGTAGAGTTATGTTAGGATGAAGCAGACATTAGCTCATAAGTCAGAGGGTTCACTTGACGCAGACTGTAAATTATGAGAAGGGGACCACGTCTCTTTTATCACTGTATTTCCAACTTCCAGTACAATGCCTGGCATAGAATCTGTGCTCAAATATTACCAGAAATAATGTAATGATGCACTATAATAGCTTAGTACAGATGTTCACTCTGCTTTCCGAATGCCAACATGATGCATTCCTTATATACTTGTTGACCTCAAATTTAAGGAGTGAAACACAACAGCAATGTCATCAGGACAGAATAAGTAAAAAGAAATCCACTTGACATACACAAGGAAGGAAACAGGGCTAAGACCTGAAAAATGTCAATGTTTCCAAAGACATGGAGTTACCATGAGAACACTAGGAGGGATGAGACTTCATAAGTTATCCCATCTAAAGAGCCACCGGTTCTATTCTGGGATATCTAAGACTAACAGGTTGTCAAAAAACCAGGAAGGCTGTCTGGGAACAACAGGGCAGTCTGTAACAGAGTTTCTGAAGGAGGACATGAGTGAGACTAACAAATAAGAAAAACTAATATGTCAAAAGGTGTTCAGAGGGAGAAGGATGCCTTCTAGAAAATGATCATTCACAGGGAAAGAAAATTGCCTTTTATTTTTTTTTAAGTACACATTTAGGATTGGTAATGATCTCCTAGGGCATTTTATAGACTCCATTTCTAGTTTGCTAGCTGTATTAATAAGAGAAACAAGCTCTGATTAGACCAACTTTACTTGCCCTGAAAGGGCAAACATAAGTAAATCTGAATTAGATTGTTTACACGGAATACTGCTTATAAGGAGATTCATTGTTTTTCTGAGATCAGCAGAAGCCTGAAAAAGATGGCTGACTTGCTAATTTTGAAACCAAAGAGCAATGTAAAGCTGGAGAAAAAGTAAATCGGGGGAAAAAATTCTCAGTGTCCGGAAAGGCAATTAAACTGATCATTAATCCCAATAGCAGCTATAACATTATTCCCTTCGTGTCACAGCAACAAATTGACTTCTAGGCAACTGACTCTGGGATTCAAGTTAAAAAGATGACCTGGTTATATATCTTGCTAGGTCCCATTTCCACGCTGGACTAAGCCTTTATCATTGGTTACAAATCTGAAACAGAGCGAGCTTCATGTTTACTAAGGCATATGTGTACAATGAGTTGTATCCCATATTTACTTATTTTCTGAAATATATATATGTATAAATATAAATATGTAACATATAAATATGATTTTTAGACTTTCTGAAAATATATATATTCTGATATATATAAATATATATTTATATATATTTATAAATATAAAATATATATATTCTGATATATATAAATATATATTTATATATATTTATAAATATAAATATGTAACATATAAATATGATTTTTAGACTTTAAAATTGACTCTTCTTACTAGCACAGTCAACTACATTTTTAATGAAATGATAGAAATTTCTTAAAACTCCTACCGATCCCTGAGAATGGTCCAGAGCTCTCCACCTAGGCACACTTCCATCAACATGTACAAATATTTGCTGTCCTTAAACGTTCTGTACAATCTGTGGATTGCAAACAAGAAAACAAAGGTTAGAAACGTGGTTGTCTTTGAAAAGAATGTATTTTAGGTGCTCAGATTACAGTCTTATGCTTGGTTTTCTAAGCTTGAAATGTCATTAAAAGGAGAAAGGTCTGTTTGCAAATAGGGAATAGGAGGCAACAAGCTCCTGACCAAGATGTGTATAGGGTGGGGGCTGGGCTGTCCTTGGCAATGAATGGATTAATCCAAATGATTATGGACCAAGATGGCTTCTTGGGGCTCCTCCTGTCTCAGTTTAGCTGATTTTTAACACATGGATTCTTCAGCCCTATTTAGTGGTCATAAACATGCAGTATACATGGTTATAAAATAGGTACACTTTACAAATGCAGACATGAATGAAATTTTCGTGCCGTTCACCTAAGTTCACCTTGTGCCATGTTTTTATTTTATTTATTTATTTTTTATTTTTTAAATTTTATTTATTTATGATAGTCACACACAGAGAGAGAGAGAGAGAGAGAGGCAAAGACATAGGCAGAGGGAGAAGCAGGCTCCATGCACCGGGAGCCCGACGTGGGATTCGATCCCGGGTCTCCAGGATCGTGCCCTGGGCCAAAGGCAGGCGCTAAACCACTGTGCCACCCAGGGATCCCCTTGTGCCCTGTTTTTAAGTGCCACTGACAAATTAACTAGAACAGGCTTTGTTTTGTTTATGAAAATTCCTCATTATCTTCTTATTAATGTTCTCACAATATAGAGATGGAATAGTCATTTCATTTTTTTAATCTTCAAAATTTTAAAAATGGGGATCCCTGGGTGGCGCAGTGGTTTGGCGCCTGCCTTTGGCCCAGGGCGCGATCCTGGAGACCCGGGATCGAGTCCCACATCGGGCTTCCGGTGCATGGAGCCTGCTTCTCCCTCTGCCTGTGTCTCTGCCTCTCTCTCTCTCTGTGACTATCATAAATAAATTAAAAAAATTAAAAAAAATTTAAAAATGTACATATTAGTATTCAAATAATCTAATTTTTGTATTTTGTCCTTCAAGCTGCAAAAGAAGTCTATATAGGGTCACAGAGAGCATCAGCATGGGATGTTAGAAATGGAAAGATCTTTGGGAAAACCATGTGTTTTTCATAGAATCTGATTCTCTTAAAAAATAATAATAATAATACAAAAACATCCCCCCCGCCCCGAAGTTTAAGTCTAACAAAACTTTCCTAAAATCAGATTTAAAAATCTGTTTCCTGGTTGAATGAGATGTGTAACGGGGAACATGGGAGGCAGTGGGTTTTGTGGCTGACCTGCCACCCACCCGGAGTGGGAAAGTCAGCCCCAGGCCAGGCCTTTACCTCACTATGAAGTCGGAATGCGCTCCCTGCATGATCTGCTTCTCGGAGCGGATGTGCTCCTGCTGTCTTGTGTCCACGATGTGGCGTTTCTTGAGAATCTTCATAGCAAAGGTTTTGGATTCTTCACTTTTCAACTGGACCTGAAAAGAATAAGTGAGAAAAGAGAATAAGTGAGAAACAGCCCATAGTGTTAATATAACAGGGTGATTTCTTATCCTCAAATTGCCCTGGGCTCGGAGTACACCAGGGATCCCCCAGTGCCCCCTGACTCCCAGGGCACATCCTTGCCGGAGCCGGGTATAAATCCAGATCCACAACTATTGTCCACTCTTCTTCCACGGGGCCAGATCCACTGAACTAGATTCTCAGTGAGTTCTGTGCCCACTGGGCTTGGAAGAGGGCAGGTGCATGGGATTCTCGCTGTGTTACGTCACTTCATAGCACACAATGTGTTTGAGCATATTTGGTAGTTTCTCCCCTGCCATCCAAAAAGCATAGAAATGTAATTTTCCAATTTCCCTTCAAGTGAGTGTGGTGAGGGAAGGACCCTCTGGACCTTTACACTCTTCCTCCGTGGTCTGAGCCCGCAGACATTCCCACAGGTGTAAAATTCAGGAACACAGGACTGTCTGCTGAGACTGCAGAAGTGGGTACTGTTGGTTCTTCTCTCTGTATCTCCTAGTCTTGCCCTTCCTCTAAAAAATTTTATATATAATTATTAAAATATAATTATTTTATATAATTATAAAATTTTTATATATAGTATATATATAGTACATATAATATGTATACAGATACATATCTATCTAGATATAAATATTTTAACAAGATTTTTTTCAAGAGATTTTGAAAACTTTCTTCTCAAATATGCATGATGGCTTTAATCTTGTCCGACTTCAAATCTGACCGCTTAGTTGTACTAACTGGGAAGCTCAGCTGGGATGTCCCTGCTGCCTCCACGCCACTGGTGCAGCCCCACACGGCTCCCAGTGCCTCGGGTTCTTTGAATGCCATTCCTCAGGCCATGGGTCTGTGGTTCACTGTTTTATAAACAATTTTTTTTAAAAGATTTGATTTTTATTAGAGAGAGGACAAGCAATGGGGGGGGGGTTAGCAGAGGGAGGAGGAGATGAGGAGCCAGACACAGAGCTTGATCTCACCACCCTGAGATCATCACCTGAGCCGAAACCAAGAGCCAGATGCTTAACCAACTGAGACCCCCAGGTGCCCCTCCACAAGGTGACTTGCAAGGAAATTAAGAGATCTTGATGATGTGGCTCATCACTTAATGGTAATATAAAAGTTCTCCAGTGCCATTGAGTGATGAACAGAATGTTCCAGCCTGCATTATTTGGAACTAATGAAAGCCTTGGGGAAACGGCACAACAAGCTGTTTCTGCTGTTCAGCCCAAGTATCACTGTCACCCAGAGTTGTGAATTGTTTACTGCTTCATCTGCAGGGCAGCGAAATTCTGGTGTCCTGTTCATGCACACGTGTATAGACTGAATTGGGCCCAAGAGGACATTCACGTGGCGCGTGGAGACCACAAGGACACTTCACAGAAATGGGCCCCGTCTATAGGTGTGATGGGGTAGAGAGAAGCATGCATATTCCAATAGGCCTTAGGCAGCCAAGGGCCCTCCACTCGTCTGTGAAACTCTTTCAGCTGACAGATTAGTGTGATTCAAATGAACTCAGTTGTAGTTCACAGTAAAACACAAAACATGAACACCCACTTGTAAAAGAAATCTGGAGGGGCAGCATGAAAAAGGAGCTGTGTTCAGAGTACTAAACCTCAGAGAAATCATTTTCTCTTTGGAGCCTCTGTGTGATGACTTCAGGCCCTGGTGTAGTTTACACCCCTAATGGAAAAATTAGCCATTCATCTTCACCATGATGGTGACGTGCGTTGTACACAGGATGGGAGCAAAGAGCTCTGCCTTTGGGGGTCACGGGTCTGAACCGGAACCCTGACTCTGCTTAGCTGCTTCTCTGCTCTGAGTCTCATTTCTTACTGAAGATAACACTGTATGGAGTTATTGTGACTGTAAGCGAGAAAGTGCCAGAAGTGGGAGATCACCAGTGGTCTCTCTGCTGCAGGCCCACCCCAGCCAGCCGACTCGACGAGATAGCATACATCAGGTGTCTGCTAAATGAAGCCAGATCCTCAATCCTCTGCCTGAAACACTCCAGTGGCTTCCCATCTCACCCACAGTAAAGACAAAGTTGTCACAGAGGCCACGAGGTCCTACACCATTTGGACCCCAGCTACCCCCTAACCCACTCTGCTGGGGTCACCCTGGCCCCTTGCTGTTCCTGGAATGCACCTGGGATATTCCTTGGTCTATGTGCTCTTGCTTTTCTGACCAAAGATTTCCCCACACATATTCACAGAAGTCACCCTCTCAGTTCCCTGCTCAAATGTTTCCTAAAGAGTGTGTCCTCACACCAGCCTCCATGCAAGAGTAACCACCCTCTTCTCCCCTCCCTGCTCGATCGCTCACTATAGCTCTTATCACCAGCCAATGAACTCCATATTTTTCATGACTTGTGTAGTTCCTGTCTCCTCTCACTGGCCTATCAGCAACCTGCAATGGGGGATCTTCTTATCCAAAGTCCCTGACACAGAGTAAATGCATATTAAGTACTGTTGACTGCAAATCTAAGAAAGAATGCAGCCAACCATGACGATTCATCACCGGCCAAGCCACAGCAGAGCTGGTGTCTCAGCTCCACACTGTGTATCTCTTCACCAAACAGGAGAAAAACAAGGGAAACTACAAGGAAAAGCCTGTAGTGTTTGGTCTTGTTCCTTTGTCTCAAAGTGCCCTAATTACACACGGAAGGGCAGAAACTATTTCTACGTGTCAACAGCGCACAGGCAACACACACAGCCACATACCTATGTACTTCAGCCTCCAGTTTTCATTTGTATTTTTACAAGATGTTTTCTTAACCCAGCCGTTTCCTCGATGACTAAAATGTGACATTTCCAACCACAGAGCCTACTAGATTAATAAAATCACCTCTAGGACAATGTCTAGTTGGCTGCCAACAAGCTCTTGGGGTCAATCATTTTTCAAGACCAAGTCCATCTCCTAAGCAATGCTATGTTTGAGTTCTGAGTTCTCTTCCAATGAACACATACCCCAATTCCATATATATTGGCTATTGCTGTTATAACCAGCTCATCACTGTTCTACCCATACCCAGATGTTTATTTCACTGTAGTTAGGATATTAGGTAAATCCTTGACATCCTTTGCTAGTTCTTCAATAGTTTTGAACTGTCTATTAGGGAGAATCTATGCAGGGAAATAAACGAAGCTCTTGGGGACATCGGAGAGAAAAGGGACTTGACCTCTGTGGAATACATCTCATGCTAGGTGCATCCATGTACATTATTTTTAGTCCTGACATCAACTCTTAGGGGTAGGAGGACCTTGAGAAGTTGTATTTGGCATAACAATGTAGTCAAGTTTGGACTGAACCACACTATTCATCTTCTTAAAGGACTTGCCATTTGTTGTGTTTTTTCTAAGACTTCACACCACTGACAATAATAGCTAACATTAATAAAGCTCGTATTAAGTGTTGGGAACTGGGCAGCCCGGGTGGCTCAGCGGTTAAGCTCCGCCTTCAGTCCAGGGCGTGATCCTGGAGTCCCGGGATCGAGTCCCACATCAGGCTCCCTGCATGGAGCCTGCTTCTCCCTCTGCCTGTGTCTCTGCCTCTGTGTCTCTATGAATAAATAAAATGTTTAAAAAAATTTTTTAAATGTTGGGAACTGTGTAATAAGCGAGTTTTCTCCCTTAATCTTCTAGGCAACACTTTGAGGTACTACGGTCATCCTCAGTTTTCAGAGCAGCTAACAGAGGACTACCAGAGAGGGCCATATCTTGCCCAAAGCCACAGAGCTGTCAAGTGGAGAACCAGGTTCATCCTTAAGTCTTGTTGGCCCAAGTTATTTCTAGTATATGCTGCTTCCCTTCAGCTGAATATAAAACAAACTGCCAGCACAGTGACTGATGCTTTACAAATGAGGGTTGAATGTAACGAGCTAAGTCGGAGAGCCTCTGTGAGAAAAGCTGAAGCGTACACTATTACAGTGAAGCTTCACCAATGCTGCACCTTCCAGAGCCTTGCTGTCCCATTTCCTAGGGACCTCAGTGGATTCTCAGGGATCATGGGTACCTGAGTGATGGCTTCTTCTTGTGGAATTCAAAGGGTAGATGTGGGAGGAGGAAGATGGTGCTAACAGCTGGTAGGTGGCAGGTGGCTGCTCCCAAAGAGGTATATAAAAACTATGGAAATTACTCTGAGTCAGCCTTATTAGTTGCCAATTTGGTAAGTATTAATTATAAGGAGTTTCCAGAGCCAAATAGCTCATCTGCAGAGGCTTTCTGTTTTGTCTTTGCTCGAGTGCAGACAGTCCCACTGTCTGGAACAGTTGCCTTCTGTAGAGACCTGTCTAGTTCCTTAGAGTATAGCCCTTAGAATCTCCACTTCCATTTTAAGCTAGAATGACACAAGACTCCCAGGATCTGGGCTCTTAACCAGGAAGTCAGGGAGCCTGAGGACTACTGGTGGAGGTAATTCAACAAACATGGTCTCTTGTGCTGAAGTTAGTTCTCTGAAAATTTTTCTCCTGATAAACCATGTCCAACTCTCCGAATGTTTCCAAATTTTGCCATCAGAAACAATCTGAATGTCCATGCAGAGAAGCTTGGAAAAATAAGGGCTTAAACGATGACCTAGCAAAGGGGAAAAAAGTGAGAGAGAGACCAAGCAAGAAACAGACTCAAGTATAGAGAACTGATGGTCACCAGAGAGGAAGTGGGTGGGGTGATGGCAGAAATAGGGGATGGGGAGGATAAAGAAATGCACCTGTCGTGATGAGCACCCAGTGACATATGGAAGTGTTGAATCACTATATTTTACATCTAAAACTAACATTACACTGTGTGTTAACTAACTGTAATTAAAAACTTAAGTGTAATTCTTTTTTTAAGATTTATTTATTTATTTATGAATGAATGAATGAATGATAGACATAGAGAGAGAGAGGCAGAGACACAGGAGGAGGGAGTGGCAGGCTCCATGCTGGGAGCCCGACGTGGACTCGAACCCGGGACTCCAG